TCGACAGAATGCAACCGGCACTAAGAATAACTTGACATACATGATACTGGTCACTACACAATAATCAATTAATTGTGAATTGAATGTTTAAGAGATCAGTCACGACTCGAAAAGCTCAGTAATAATGTGGGCCAGGTGGCATGACATTGAATCAACTAGTGAGCAACACTTTCTTCGAGATTACAGGCACAGACTGTTGATGCATGCCATATATTACAAAATCTAGACCCAGAGTTTTCTATCGACTAACTTCAATCACTACCTTTCATAATCACATGAGCTATTAGTTCATAAAGCAATAGTAATTCCAACTGCTTTCAAGTGTTCTATTTAAAAGTTTAAAACAATGACAACTATATAAGAACTATCGATTGTTTAAGAAATATCATTTCGAAGTTAGATCTTCTGTTAGCGGCTTAAGGAAAAAGATAATACTAAAAAAAGAATTAATCCTGTAAAGAAAGGAAGTGTAACAAATTACTAATATAATTATTGATAATTATAAGTTAATATTACTTAATTAACTCACCATTAAACGTCTTTATATTCCAATGTCCTAATTATTCAAATTTATGTTTATTTTGATTGATACTTTATATTAAATTAGCTTAGACAATAGTTTTCATTTTATTTACTGAGACAATAAAAAGTCTATAGACTATTCTCTTTAGGTCTTTTAAAAGATTGTAGTACTTTCTATTTATAAACTTACTTTTAATTCTATTTTAACGCATGATAGTCATTGAATTTCTCTTTATTTCAATACCTACCTTATTTATCAGGGTGTAAATGAAAAATACAAAAATACAGCAGGTACATCCAGCTGACGAGTTCCAAATAGGACGAAATCCGTTTCCTGGCATCTACTGCTAGGTACTATCCATCTTTGTTTATAAAAATACAAATAGTTTTTTTAATATGTAAGATGTAAGCCTTATATATTTCATCCTGGTTTTAGTTCAATAATTCGTTGAATTCAATATTCAATAAGTTTAACAATACAGTAATGAGATTTAAAACAAGAGGTACTTTGAATATGGATAAAACTAATACTCTATAATACTATAACATTAGCAAATGTATGCGATTAGAGAGAGGAAACACTTAAGGGGATTTCTTTTGTCTTTCGTAAAACAACAAAACAAACAAACAAAACATTACAGTATACTTGTAATTTTCTAAGAGAAGAATACCAGTAAAATTAAACGTAAATTGTATATTATTGCTATGCAATAAAAGTAACAACTGTTGTCAAAACTTCATCATATCATAATATTGATTTATACTTACCATACTATGTAGTTATTGGTTGAGAATTTCGGGGACTAAAACTATCGATTAGTGCTAAAGTATAGATGTTATTGATGTATCATTCTATGCATAAAATTAAATGCGTTGATTTGTCATACATACTATTGTAACATTTAAAAGAAAGTAAAAAAAAGGATTTACTACCACTACAGTGTATTATAGTGAAAGAGAACACAGGCGGAGACAATCAAATGTACTTTAATACAGTATTACAGAATATCTTGGTAAAATCTGAGGATCATACTTCACTTGCAAAATATCCACCAATTGCCTCAGATGTTGTTGTTCCTTCGTTTCCATACCAATCATTTTCTGTTTTCGTTCTCTTCTCTTGGATTTTTTTCAACCTTCTGTCGCCAGTCATTTCACGATTAGTGATACATACTACTTATATCTGTAAACTTCAGTAACACCTACCACAGAATGTGTTGTTAGTTTTATGTATGTTTTACTCATATCTCCACTAAATAAATGTCTCTAAATTTTCGAAAAATGTATCATCTCCTAATGAATATTAATATATTAAGAGTTGATGATAAATTTAAGATCAAAGTTTGTTAGTACAAACTGAAACTATATCTAAAGCCTTAGTTCCAATTTATAAACGAGTAGTAAATATCAGTATAAGAGGTTTATCGAGATTATTGAATTTTATCAATATCATGAACAGATCAAAGTTAGACAACTATTGAGAACCTGGAAGCCCTGATCATCAGTTCCATGATAGAATGGCAACACTCAGAAGTGTATATTGACGATGCCACAGTTAATTGAATTCAGAACTTAAAGGTATCTTAGCGAGCGCTTGACTTCTAGGCCATTGACACCAGGCATCCAGTGATGTACATACCGGATTGGATCATTTTCTATGCTTAGTCACTGAATGGTCAGTGTTTGCTCTAATAACAAGCTATTGTCATATGCGAAACCAAAGCTGAAAATAATAGATACCATAACCGTTTGAAGGCTATTCTTATTTAACTACTTATGAATATAGTCAAAATCAAATGACGTGTATTTTGTAACTATGTAAAAAGTAATGTTTTTGTTGCGAATACTACGAAGAATGATCACGTGACCACCTGATGTTTAACATTAGTTCATTAATACAATTCTGTGTATAGAATGAATACTAATCAGATTCAAATATAACATAAACTATATTAAGGGGGTATTTTTATACCAAAGCATATTGACATTCATTGAAAAAATTTGATAATATTGTTATTAGAAAAATCCAAGTGATATTTTATGTCTTAGTCCTCATATCAACTATGCTAGAATAATGGAATTACAATAAGTGCTTCCTACTTATTAAAAGAACGCAGTATTGTACGTGAATCATTGAGAATAGGGGGATGCTTTATTCAATAAATAAACGTGAGCAATTTACTGAAAGTCACTAGTCCTTATGAGTTAAGTTTTATGATAATATCTAATTGTAAACTTTTCTTCAATAATAATAGAAGAAAACTTTTAATGCTAAAAAAAATTGTTTGACATAGCTGACTAGTACATTCATTGTGTATCGCAACAGTTTGTTTTAAATAAACAAAACCTAATCCATTTTATTGACTTTCTGAATTATCATAACTTGAAATTCACTTAGTATTGTTTGTTTGAATCTTCCATTGATGTTTAGGACTGCAACTGATCAAACATTAATTGGCATATGTGCATACTGTGCATATTGTCTCGATATAGCTTTAATTCATAAGCTGTCGGTTGAGGATATATATATATATATATATATATATATATAAAGTTATTTAAAGACTGAAGATTGAGCACCACTTTCTAATTAACTGGTAACAACGTAGATATCATAAAAGTGATTAAAATAACTAACAGGCTGCAAACACCACTTTTACTTTTCTTTGAAGAAACTGTCTCAATCAAACATTTAGGACTTGACTTTTGTATACAGAAAGAATGTCTCGTAAACCTGCCATTACTATGGTAGGTTAGTGATAGTTATTTTAACGTTTATCAGTTACATTATTGGTTTATTACACTTTATAGCTCAAAATACTAAAATTCCACTGATATTCTTCACTTATGATGTTAACTTGAATTTTATTTTAATTGGCTACCTTGTTAACAATTTGTTTTTATTCATTGCCTCTTTATAATCATTTTTAAACTTCACCCCTTATATTTTATAACTTCATCTTTAAGAATATAAATACAAATGTATCTTAACTATTATATAAAAATATTCTTAACAAGTATATATGTAATCATATTGCTTGAAATGTACTGCACTAATATATCACGTCGTTTTGATAATCTTTATCTTATTGTTAAATAATACAAGTTTATCAGAAGGACTAATAACTCTATGGTATAATAGCAATGGATGTTATGGCCATTTGCAGCAAATGGAAAGCCTTGGAACATGATGAATTAATATTATTCAGTTGATTTTTTCCTTATCACTATATTTAAATTTATCAAGGAATTACTTACTTACTTACACCTGTTACCCCCGATGGAGCATGGGCCGCCGACCGGCATTCTCCTACCCATACTGTCCTGGGCCTTCCTTTCTAGTTGTATCCAACTTTTGTTCATTCTTCTCATGTCTGTCTCTATTTCTCGGCGTAATGTGTTCTTTGATCTTCCTCTTCTACTTTGGCCATCAGGACTTCATGTGAGGGCTTGTCTTGTGATATAGTTGGGTGATTTCCTCAATGTGTGTTTTATCCACTTCCATCACTTCTTCCTGATTTCTTCCTACACTGGCTGGTTTGTTGTCTCCCACAGTAACTTGTTGCTGATAGTGTCTGGTCAACGGATCCGAATTATCTTGCATAGACAACTGTTAATAAACACTTGTATCTTCTGGATGATGGCTGTCGTAGTTGTTCATGTCTCCGCCACATACAGTCGAACTGTATTGACATTTGTATTGAAAATTGTGATCTTGGTGTTGGTTGACAATTGTTTTGAGTTCCAGATGTTATTCAGTTGTAAATATGCTGCTCTCAAGGAATTAGGATGCATGAAATCCGATATTCTATTTCGGAGTATTTTAACACCAGGCATTAATAATAATCAATGATGTGGATGATACATTTTATGCTTGAGGTATATAATGGTGGCTCAGATTTGTAGCTTAGTTGGATGATTATAATAGAATTTCGTTCTCTGAGCTGGATGGTTTAGTCACAGAGCTTTCATTGTTCTTCTGTACAACATGATCAGAACAAACTTCAGGTAGAAGTGAAGTGATCGAATTTCCCTACTTATGCCTCTCAACTTATCCTGTCAACCTCGATCTTGACTAGTTATTTCTGACCTCCAACCTATCATTATCTTGCTCTATATTTCGTTCTTATCTCGTTTAGATTAAAAAGAGGTAAATAATACGTCTAATTCGTTATTCTATGAAACCAGAAGACCATTATATCAAGTTTACCTTCTGCTATTCGATTTTGTAGACTAAATTTTCTCCAAAAATGTCAATTCAATACAATGTTTTAAAAATATTGATTATTGAAATGAATATTGATTTACATTGTATGTTAAAGTTTAAATTTATTAGTCATATTCAAGTGATAACCAAAGTATTACTTAATTACATACTTACGCCTGTTATCCCCAATGGACCATAGGCCACCGACTAGAATTCCCCAACCCACTCTATCCTGGGCAACTATAGTATTATTATTATAGAATAAACAACTGGCACAACATACAATGTTTAATAATCAAAACTACTTTATTTACAATCTATGTTCATTTATCTTTTATTAATAAAAAGGGAGACATCATAAGTGAGTAGTCCTAAAAACAAAAATTCACATCAATGAATAAGGCTTCATCAAAATAAAATAAAATACAACTATTATCTTGATTCATTGTTCAATGATTTATCTTCTAGCATCTTATTCAAAGTTATATCATAAGCGGTAAAATAAATCGTTTGTCTTATAAAATATGACAATGAAATAATAATAATAATACAAGGAATGTTTAGTTTATCGGAATAATCTGTTCAGTCTTGGAACAAATAACTAAAGATTATGAATGAATCAATATATTAAAAATGTTGTTATGATAACAAACATGGTAAGATAATTTACATTTAACAAAAGAACAAAAAAAAACAAATGATGATTACATAATTAAATTTTTTTTTAAATTACCATCACACTCCACTTTCTAATTCTTGTGTTTCACTAAGTGTTTCAAATATACATGTACGAGAAATTGAATGTGTACTACGATTTATTGAATTATCATTGATGAAAGAATTTTTATTAACATCCGTAGCAATATTATTTCGTCGTCGTACATATCTAGGAGAATTAGGAGCTGAACGTATTTTTATTTCATTTGTACGAAAAAGTTCCATATGGATAGGATTTATTGTATTTTGATTAAAAATTGATAACCAATAATCTACAGAATGTTCATCAGCAATTTCACCTTCAAGAGTTATACCTTCTCCACAACGAGTATAAATATGAAAATGTTTTTCATCTATTGGACTTGAACGTGTATGCTTTAAATTGAATTTCATATAAGGAGGTGAATAATAATCTGGTGTATATTCAGAATTTTTTGGATTTATTCTTGTTTTTAATAATAATACAAAAGTTGGAATGTCTAAATTTTGTGTATTAAGTCTTGATGAAATTGATGATGATTTCTGATAAATTTGTACCCAAACAAGTTGACGATATTTCTCCGATGAATGCGATGAATTCAAAGGTCCTATAAATATTTTTCCAACTATAGTTTGTCCTAAATTATTAGAATGATCAATAATATTGTTTAAATGATCATTATAATTCAAAGGTTCATGTTTTGGATCGTTATTTGTGTTGTTATGACAACTACCATTACTGTTAACATTATTATTATTATTATTGTCGTCACTGTTAATGAAAAAATTCGAAAATGGAACAGTTAATGATTTACAATCTTCAGGTTGTTCATTTGTTGTCTCTAATATATCCTTTTCATTAATAATTGGATCAATTAAAATCTGTGGAAGATTATTCATTGTTGAATGGGAATTGGGAATTTTTTAGAGGTTGATTAACAATTTAATAAGTTGATGTAAAGCTTTAACATATTTCTTATATCATTTTTTCAAAATATGACTTATTACATTGATAGATTGATATTAATTATTTTTAAAATCTGTTAATTATTTTTGAACCAATCAGAAATGAGCTATAAATGTTAATTCATCACAGAATTTTTGTAGAATTTAGCCAATCACATTACTTGATTTAATTTCTGTAATATGATTGGACTATTGAGAATATGTTTTATTAATATATAATGAAAACTAAGCTTCAATTACCAAAATAACATATGGATTATAAAAAGGGACTAAAATCAATCCAAGATATACTTTAAGTAGTTTGTAAAAATCAGAACAGACAATGAATGTTAAAAATTTTGTTTATTACATTAAAACTAATAAACAGTAAATTTGAATAATCAAGGTAGTTTAATAAAAACGATTTAAGTGATGTAGTAAATGATCCGATTCAAAACTATTTTATTAGTTTAATAGTTTAGTTCATTAGTGAATTAAGGCTAGACCATTATGAAAAATCTGGAGGTACTGGATGGCCGTTTCCTCCTAGTATGGGACTCCTCGGCAGTGAACATCACGATCCCGCTTGTTGGGATTCGAGCCCAATACCTTCGGTCTCGTGCGCGAGCGCTTAACCTCGAAACCACTGAACTGGCCGGCAACTAACGGTGTTAATGTCTAACTTCATGTTTGAAAAAAACACAGATGAAGAAACGAATATTCTGGACAACATTTCAAATTAAAATGTTTTGCTGTTTCCTTTTTGAGGATAAAAACTCAAGTAATAGAAATAGGATGAGAACCAGAAAAGAATTATTTATTTTACATGAAAAGAGTGAAAGCACAGGTTTAAAGTTTTGGAACTACCAAATCTTTACAACCTTTGTTTTATTTATTTCATTCGATTCCAAGATACTTAGGATCTATCAAATGCTTGGAATTTTGTTCTGAGCAATAAAACATTTTGCTAACATCCACTTTTTCTGTACTAGTAAAAACTATTCACAAAGGTTGTTAATTCATGTACTTGTTAACAATAAAGCTGATTCTTTTGTCTTCCAGCATGAGAAGTAAGTAGCGAAAGCTAGGAAGATGAATAACATCTCAAAAACCAGATATTTCTGAAAACATTACAGTGCACTGATTTCAGTCAAACATTGATCTCAGTGCGATCAAAAATTAAGTTTAGAACATTTAATAATTATGAAGTACTAAAAGTTTAATTTCTTGAAACTCAACTATTCCTCATCATGGTCGTATGACATAGATGAGAAAATCATTTACACAGTAAATTCAACCATCAGCTAGACTATCAGTCTTAGCTTTTATTGGATTTCAGTTGGGTTTGCTAATTACACTATATAATCAGCCAAAATATTATCAAATAATACTAATTTCGGTTGATGATAATTGTGGAAAACATGTTCATTTCATTGTTTATCACAATTACTAAAAACATTACATGAACCATAAAGAAGTAATGTACAAATAAATGGACATTAACGTATTGATATATCCTGAAAGTGAACTATGAGAATCTGTTAATGATATATTACTTTAATATAGAGGATATCAGTATTCATCAGTTTGGCCATGCTTGTAAGTTTATATCATGCAATAACTTCTTGACCATTAAGCGAGCCGACATCCAAAAGTGTTAATGTCTAACTTTAACCAATCCACGAAATTGAGCAACCATTCACCAATCGTCTTCAGTGAGTTGATATCACCCAACAGACCTGGTTGAACTCCACTGGTTACTGCTTCTCACTAGAACTGCAGGGAATACCTCACTTTCAAAACTGTCAAATTAATTTTTTGGCAATAAAAATCATGTTTTGGTATTAAAAAAATGTCTACATTCTTGTTGAATGATAGTTACATAACCATAATTGCTATCACTGAGAATAAGATAAATAGGTAGATAAACAATGAATAGTTAAATCAGACAAAACGAATTTTCATTAAATGACGACATAAATTTCGACGGTTACTGAGTATAAGTTATAGTTTATTCCTAGGCACCATTTGTAACATTTTTATTTAAGTGTATAATAACTGTGTTTTAATTCAATCATTATCGTAAACAGAATTATTCGTATATTGTAATGATTCCTTATTCACTTAATAGGATACCACTTAGTTATGAATCAAACTGAATTGAAAAGGATAATCCATTTACAAATTTATTAATAAAGTCAGTATGATCACGAATATCTGTCAATCAATATAGAGCAGAAGGGAAAGATTAACTATTTCCTCTACTACCAATGTTAAAAATACCCTGTTTAGTAAACAATTTTTTAAACCGACCAGGAGAGTTGGATGCAAAATGAATCAGTAGTTAAAAATATATGACAGAGATCAGTGGCATATATTTACTATTATCCAAAAACAATTGGGTAGATATAATTTCGTGCCGGAATTGTTGTGTTCAGAAATTATTATACCTTATTCGATTTATTTGTAAAGTGTATCTTCTAAGTCAAAAGCGTTACTTTGAGTTGCGATTTGAATACTTTCAGACGAAATTAGGAAAAATGATTAAACCAAGGATAACGGGAAGGTAATTTCATGTCATCAGACCTTTTAAACTTGTGGAAATAATTTCAGATCGTTTTTTTACCAGTGAATTTGTGATCATTCGTATAATCTACCTGGAGTCAGATATTCGAGAGCCACTAAAAATACTTCAGTATATGAAAAGAAAGATGAAATAAAGGGCATCAATGCATAGAGAATAATATGTGTATTGAAACAATTGATGACATAGAAATTTTTTAGTCAATAATATTTTGCTCCAGTTTTCAAAAGAATATTTTACATACTGATGCAAATTACTTTTGATTTTTTTCAAAATTTCAAAATGGGTTCTTTTGAAGATCAAGTTTTATATTATTTACTGAGCATTCACAGCTAAATGAAAAAAAACATACAACAATGGTGATGATAAATAAAGCTAGTGACTATCTGGCCTCAGTAGCTAAGTAGATAATGCGATGGTGCTTGAAACGAACAATACTGGGCTCAAGTCCCAGAGTGAACATTGACTTTGGGATGCAGGTACATCCGGTCGATGAGTCCGGAATAGGACGAAATGCGCGTTCTGGATTCCAATGCTAGCCACCAACCATCTTTGCTCAAAGTGCCGATATCATTGTCCATTGACATTATGATGTTTTTTGCATGACAGCTAATGAAAAATAGTCAGTATACTAGTTTTATAAAGATTGATGAATACTTATGGGGTTTCATAGATACATTACAGAACGATATTCGTAAGAAAATTATTGAAAATCAGGTAGTATTGAACAGCTGTTTCATCCAACTATGGAAGTTCAAAGTTCATTCACAGCACCTCCAAGGATAGAACCAAAGACCTCTGATCTCACAGAAAAACCACAACCTTTAAATCACTGAGCCTGGATTCCATCTTTTACATGGCCAACTTAAATCGATTCACGATATTGCATGACCATGTTTTATTACTTTCAACGAATTATTGTCGCAGACGAAGTATAGTTGAACTCTAATTCTTATTGAGACTGAATTTTTCTGAATAACTTGAATGGAAACAACTCGGTTTTGTGCAGACAATTGGGATTAATTAATAATGAACAACTAAGGATCTTCGCTTGAGTAATAATAGAACAAAGTTTAAAGATGTTATTTTTTCTTAGTATTCAACCTAAATTAACTGAAAACCATGAACCTGAATTCCATGCTAATAAAACTCATCATTAAGATGTATTTACAAGTATTGGACATAAGTAGTATGTGAGACCAATCGAAAATGGAAAACCTGGCAGCAGAAGGCTAGGAAAGGAATCGTGAAGTGGAAGAGCCGTACAAAATGTGAGGGACAAATAATGGGAATTTGTAAATGAAGTATTCAAAGTATGCTCCTCATATTTTGTCAAGAGATTCTGTAATTTTGTATTTTAATACAAACCATTGTTCCCACTTGTGTTCTCGTTCACCACAATATGACTAATTAAATGAGTGAATTAAAATAAAGGGTTGAATGAAGCTCTTTATCAGATTTAAGAAACCAAGGTATTGGTGGAACACAAAGTTATTGAAAAGGAAGTTACATTTTATCAGTGCGAAAATATATCATGGAATATTTAAAATTATAACATTTCAAACAAAATCACTGAATCTAGATAAAAAATCTATCAGCTATGTTACATTTAAGACGAAACACACTCCCTGAATTTCACTCCTAGCCGCCAACCATCTTTGTTTATAATGCTTGTGACTTAAGACTATAGCGAGGCAATCCGTACAGAATGCACATATGCAGCCCTGAACATCAATGGGAAGATTCAAGTAAACAATGCAAGATGAATTTGCACTTCACCCTATTGCACAAGTAAGTGGCTACCAGGACTCAGTAGCTAAGTGGATAATGTGATGGCGTTTGGAGTGAATGATACTGGGCTCAAGTTCCAGAGTGAAGATGAACTGTTAGATGCAGGTACATCAGGTTAGTGAGTCCAGAATAGGACAAAATGCGCGTTCTGGATTCCACTGCTAGCTACCATCCATTCTTGCTTATAATGTATTAAGTTTATGTCACTATAATCTGTGGATGAACAATAAGTAATTGAAATGCTAAATGCAAATGAATTTTACAATCAGTATTTGTTATGACTTTATAAAAGAAGGCCGTTGCAAGTTCGTTATGATTTTATGTCCGGCTTTTATCACGTGAATTATCCACCAATCGGAATACAACTTTTCCAGTCTTAGCACTGTGCTAAGCAATGACTTCGATCGGTATGAGCAGTCTAGCGCCTTTATTGGTCCCTTGTCCGCCTAGACCTTCCAATTGACTCCGCAACACCAACTGCAGCTTCTGCTATGCAAATTATTTATTTCAAGAATACTCGGTTTATATACCAAACAGACAGACCGGATCACACCATAAAATAGAAAATAATATTTGTACAAGTCAAATGTGGCTGTGAACGTGGGATACAATAATCAATAAACTGAATATAATTTAGGGACAGGAAATCGTATAATAATAATACATAGGTCAAAATGAAGCTTATAATAAGATGAATATAGATATGCACAATCTAAACAATAAGAATATATATAGAAT